AATTCCAAGTGGATCAAGGAGTGAAACAGACAGAATGAATCCTCTAAGAAGTAGGTGAGAATGCCGGAGAATGACCCCAGTGCAGAAGCTGTCAGAGAAACTTGATCATACAAAAAGGAGTATTATGGCACAACAAAAGACTCCACCAACCAACCAACCAACCAACCAACCAAAATACCTAAACAGAAAATCACAAGATTCCAGGCAAATTCAAGACAAATGACAAACTCGGAACTACACTTCCAAGTCATGATACATAGGGACAATGTCCCTCATGTGTAAAGGCACCCACAAGTAAAACTCCAGACAGATGGCAGGGGACACACACAGGCATTTTTTTCAGGCAAGAAGATCGAGAAGGTATTTAAACATCTGGAAAGACTTTGAGCTGCCCCGCAGGCAGATAGGAACGGGAGCAGGCTGACATTGTTCTAGACTCCTGACAAATCATAATGGCAACAATTACAGGCCGAAGGAACAAACCTTGTGCGCAGCTGGCAGGACACTGCCATTGTCCCTCCAGAGGCCAGTGGGCAGTAGTACTGTGAGCTGGAATGGTAACCCAGCAGCCCCACTATGGCAGCCCAGGTGACACCCTCAAGGACACAGACTATACCAGGCAACTTGCCATGGAGACAGGGGGAAGAGTCATACATATGTGTGTTGGGAGGTGGAGTGGGGTTCCCTGAATGCTTCCGCATGACAGTTCTGGGGGACTGTAAAAACAGATTGGGATTCCTTAGGAAGGACATGGAAATACCAATGTTAAGATGTGAAAAGCGGGCCCAGTGCCGTAGCCCAGTGGCTAAAATCCCCGCCTTGCATACACCGGGATACCATAGGGGTGCACATTTGTCATGGCTGATCCACTTCCCTTTCAGTTCCCTGCTTGTGGTTTGAGAAAGCAGTAGAGACAGCCCAAAGCCCTGGGACCCTGCACCCACATGGGAGACCTGGAAGAAGATCGTGGCTCCTGGCTTCGGATTGGCTTAACTCTGGCCGTTGTGACTACTTGGAGAGTGAACCAGTAGACAGAAGATCTGTCTCTTCTTTCCTCCATAATTCTACCTTTCTAATAAAAATAAATAAATAAATCTTTTAAAAAGTTTTTTCTTTTAATTTTGTTGATAATCTTTACATATTGATGAGGGCGCAAAGGGTCAAGGGCTAGAGGAAAGTAGGTAAGACCATTGTTACCACATTCTTTTTTCCTTCTTGTATCTGGGGAAAGGGGAGAGATAAGGGGAAAAGCCACACCCAGCTTCTCAACCATCCCAGGGTCCCTGATGTGGGCCTGCTCCGAGGGATCCGCTCAAGTGGTTTTGATAGTTTAACAGTTCTGAATTGCTTGTCAGTCTCACCACTCCAAGATGGTGAAATCGCTCCAGAACCCACTGGCTGACACAGTCCACCTTAGAGTCTCCATTTGCTTAGATTTAAAAAAAAAAATTCACAACTGGCAGTTGTGAACTACAGCAGGTGAGAAAGGCCTGGAAGGAAAACCTTAAGATAGTGGGCACCTGTGTGGGCTGAGGCCTCCTGGTCACTGCCCTTTCACAGCTCTTTGATATTCCAGTACTTACCTTTACAACGCCACTTAGAAGCAGTTGCCAGCCCTTCAAAACGAAGACCTGGATGTCCTGTTTTTGGGGAAAATGACCGTGTGCTTTTCGCACCAGTTGTTACAGGACAGTGAAGTCAGATGCACGTCGCTGTGTAGGCACCTGCTTGCAGGACTTTGCTAGTTGATCCTGCCTGCTTGGCCCTGTGTGCCTTAGCCAGTGGATTCTGACCAGAGGTGGTGGGGATTTACTGCAAGGATGGGAGTGCATGGAGAGGCATCTGGACCTCGCCTTTGGTGGTTGTGGCACCCCTGGCATCCCTTGCCATTCTGGCAGCTGGCAGCCTCACCAGGGCCTATACACCCACCCTGAGGACAGAGGACAGGTCCCCCTCGTGAAGATGATGCCAGTCAACAAGATGTGAGCACACAGAATCCAGCACCACACAGGACACAGTCTACATGGGAACCAAGCAGCACCAAACAGGCCAGATTTCTCCCAGGAAGGCAAGGTTTGTTTCACATCTGGAAATCAGTCACCTTAACATGCTCTGTCAGTAAGGGACAAATCCTCTATCACTTCAGTAGATGCAGAAAGGCAAGTAGCTAACAGCATCCTGCATCCAGTCATGAGAATGCTCCCACTGCAGCTCATGGCTGGGCAGACACCCCCACCAGGGTTACAGAGCCACTGACTCTGGACATGCTTTGCTGACCCAAGCAGCCAAGGGCATCTGGGAAGCGTCCTCCCTGTCAGATAGCCAAACCCACTTGGCCTTGTGGCTGTGAGCATGGCCAGCAGAGGTCTTGGATTTCAGAGCCGTTGTGATGTAAGGCAGCTGTCATGACTCTGCCATGTATCCTGTGGGCAGCCAGGCATGGGTGGGGTCTGTGGGGCAGGGCTCACTTGGCCCCACCTCTGGCAGTGTACTTGGGGGCCTATGGTGCTGCTCATCATGAGGAAGGAGCTGAGGTGACAGATGTGTTGGGTCCAAGTGAACATGTATGTGTGTGTTCTGGGGAAAGGCTCCACCCGGAGGTTCAAGCAGTATCTTCCGAAGTGCTCCTCTGGAAGAGCTAGGCCTGAGGAGCTAGGGAGGGAGGAGACTGGAGGAGGGGTAGCCCAGGAGGGCTGGGTTTGTTTTCTTCCATGGTACACTCAGGAGCCTGGAGCTGAGATGATGGCAGCACCATCCATGAGCCTGGTGGATCAGCTCAGGCTTATGTTCCCACTGCCTGGTGTAATGGAGACTAGGGGCTCACACTGAGGCACGTAATCTCTGGTGGAGTCCAGCTTCCTTCCCAGGCTGCAGGCTGGTGTTTTGTGTGGGGAGACAGAATGGTTTCCCAAAGCTGCAGGCAGCAAATACATGATTCTGTGGGAGCCACATGCTTATAGCCCATATTTGCCGTGCAGCGCTTTCAAATGGGTCCTCAGCCCGACATCAGCCGCTCTGGAAAGGCAGTGTGGCCCTAGGCTGCGAGTCATGCTTTCGCATACCCAGCAAGTTTTCAAGGAGGAGCTGCCCTGGGCCATGTGGGCACATGTGCCTGTGGAATCCATGTGGGTCACAAGGCTCCTTTGCAAGAGCGTAACACTCTTCCCACTTGAACCTCCCTGAACACAGCATAGTCTTGGGTTTCTTTCTTGCTTGGGTTGCACTGGTTCCAGCTCAGCTTGAGAGGGCTCCTGGCTGGCATTAGCCCACATGGACCGTGCTGATTAGCACTGGACCTGGCACATCAGCTCCTGAGACTGGCTCAGGATATTCCAGACAGCTGAGCTTGGCATTTGCTCAGTAGTGGAGGTGGGTCATCCCCTCTTGGGGTAGGTCAGTGAGAGGCACCTCGCAAACACCAGGATGCTTCCTTGCCATCATAGTGCTGCCTTCCAAAACAGCTCACAGATCCTGCCTCCTTGGTTAAGCCACCTAGGCTGGACTTAGGCTTCTGGCCAGTGGAAGTCCTCTTTGTTGAGCAATCACTACTGAAGGAAGCAGACACTTCCCTAACCAGCATTTGCAACCAGAGCCCAAGCTGGACTGGGAGCCCATCTCTGACCTGTTAGGGCAGTGTTACCAGTGAGAGGTGCCGCGAGTTGTTGTGGCAGGACCCCTTCAGTTGGCCTTCTGGTGTCTGTGCTCAGAACCAGCCCTGTTAAGGGCTGAGTCTGGCTTACAGTCCTCAGCATAGTAGGCTTTGTCTTGCGTTCCTTTTCATGGTAACCTTCAGTAATGGCATTATGATTTTCCTTAGTCTAAAAAGGGGACTGGAAGCATGGTGAAAACGTCAGGCTGTTGTTAGGCTTCAGTAATGACGGTGGCAGTTATGCCGGGGAGACACTGGGCCAGGTCAAAGCCCACGGGCTGGTGGAGACTGAGGCTCTCCGTAGCAGGGGAGGCCACTCTCAGGAGTTACCTTTCACCAAGGCTAAAATTGTGGCGGTGCGTTTGGGAATAGCAGCCATGGCCACAAGTATCCCAGGTGTGAGCCAGCCAGCAGCATCTCCCCTTTTGCAAGTGTGATCTTAGGTGTATTCTTCTCTGAGCCTTCATGTTAGCACTTGGGCTTAGAGCTATTATTCCCATACAGAGCTGTTTAGATCCGGACATCTCTGGAGTGTCCCACAACTACATCCCAGAGACAACACTTCAGTCATATCCTGAGGACAATGGAAAGGTGTGCCACAGACACAGGGGACTCCTTTGGCTACAGGTCCCCACTTTGGAGGGCAGGGCTCAAAATCCCCATGCATGCTCTCCTTAGGGGTGCCCATTCTGCCTTATTGGCAGGCTGAGCCCCCAGGCCCAGACTTATTTAGTCTCCAAAGTAGGGTCATTTTGTGCTCTAGACCCCAGGTGGCTGCTCCATGTACACAGCGGACAGTCTGTGCCAGCCACCAATGCAGCCAGGACATGGGAAAGGCCTGTACTTCCAGCTTCTTAACCAGATTCCAGGCATCCAACCATCCCCTACTGGTACTGTAAGGTTTTCTATTGCCAGAAACGGTTCAGGCTTAAAAGGGTATTATGACAGGCCATTTTGTTCTTGAGTGTCAGCAATGTAACTGACAGCATATTCTAGAACGTATCATTGACAACTCATCTTAGTGGCATGGCATTCCTGCAACTGACTGCAGACCTCCTTTGTGGTTGGAACCCTCAGTTTTTTTGATGACACCCAAATTTCACAGTATATACAGACGTTCCAGTTTAACCACCACTACATTCAATCTACTGGGGCTGTTCCAGTTGCATTAAACCTGTGACAAGGTAAGAGCAAGTTGGAGGACACAGAATTACCCACCTGTGGCACAAGTTCATACCTGGTTTCCAATCCAAGCCTCAATTTTGAAACAGTGCACCGTCAACTTGTTTCAGTTGGGATAGCGGATCTCTGAATTGCTTCATGGAGGCCCAGTTGGCATGTTGAGATCCCATTTTGGAATGTCATCCTTTTATTTTTGATCTTGTGTGGAGTGAGTTTGATGTGTTGCTACATGATGCTGGTAAAATATTTGCAGCTGGAATCAACTGAATGAGCAGCGACTGAGTAGAAAACCCCAGGCGTTAGGTCAAGTTCCGTAGGAAGAGTGAATGGTCTTTGGGACTCACCTTGAGGGTTCAGTGCCAGTAGCCTGAAGTCAAGAACCAGCCCTTTGCTTGGTAGCCTTCTCATGGCAAGATGGCTTACTTCCTTCTGGCTCAGGAAGGGATCTCTCCAGTCTACAGTAGATCCAGTTTTCAAGTCTGGTGTTCACTTTGTTCATGTCTGAAATTGGCTTCTTTACAACGGACTGGCATTTGGATCATATGCACAGCTGAGATGTTAAAAAGGGACACGCACTTTCCTGCTTAGGTCTCTAGTGGGGACAGAGGTGTCTAACAGACTTCTCCTTGTATGGCTTGTTGGCAAGGAACCAAAGATGGTCCCATGTGTTGAGGCGGCAAAAACACCAAAGCCTTTTTTTTGTGTATGTAGTATTCAAGGAAATTTCAGGAGCTAAGTTCTCTGGGATAATTAGGGATTTCCTTATTTTTTTAAAATAAAATCTATAGATCCATCAAGCTCAGTTATGGAGATTTTCTAAGTGTAAGGTGGCAGACTGCCACAGCTTAAGTTAAAGAATTTCCAGATTGTTCCAAAACCAAACAGGAGCAACAACACTCAATTTTAACATTAAACATGGCTTTTATTGAGATACTTTTAGGGCTTCTGCAACATTTCCAGTTGGGAATCTGGATTTCCAACTCTTTTTGGTGGCTAAACCGTTTTTACTCCCAGAAAGGCACGTAGCCACCACTAGCAAGAAAGCACATTTGTTTTTGCCCAAGTGTTCAAGACCCTAGATCCCCATCCTCAACCCTCAAGCTGCCTGTGCCCAAATCTCACTGCTCTGCCGTGTATGGACCCAGAAGCCCACCTTAACCAAGCAGAATCCGCCTCCAAGCCAACGTTAGGTGGTTTACCTTCAGGTGGCAAGATTTGGTACACAGGTCTTGTCCTACATCTGAGTGGGTGCACAAAGAATCCACCAGCTACTTGTGTAGCAGATATATAATGGCTAATGGGCCCAGACACCCTGAAGATTACAGACTGTCCTTGCACTCCTCACAGGCCTGGGATTGTGAAAAGCCTGACCTAACAGGCAGAAAGGCTGGTCAGAATTCTCTCAGGTAACAAGAGTCTTCTGGGAAGGGTCTTGGAACCATGAACATCAATCATTACAGGTCAAAGTCCCTAAGAGGTGACTGACCAACCTCAAACCTGCTGAGAGCATCACACTGTTGTTTGCATCACTAAGCCTGACAGCTGAGTTTTGCATCCTTGTGACTTTCTGCTTTTCAGTACCACTTTCTCTTGGAAACCTGCAGTCAAGCAGCCAGCTCCTTCCACCTGACAGCCCTAGCTGTGTGTGTGGTCTCCAGGCTCTTCTCTTACTGGCTAGATGGTCAAGAGCTTTAACACAAGAGTTGTTGCTCTGGGTACAACTGTTCCATTCTTAAGGTGAAAACTAATGTTTTTTTTCATCAATGGAACACCATGGTGATGATTCTGCTTGTAAATTAATGCCAATATGGTTACTTTTTAAAAAGTGGAGACATTTACACAGATCTGCAGGTTCTGCTCAACAAAAAAGGATGTTTGCTCAGTTTAAAGGGGGGGGGGCTACAAAACTGAAAACAATCTATAATACGTGCCTTAACACAAAAGATAACTTAAGCAAGTGGCAGATCTGTTTCCTCTGTGACTGTGCCATGGTGGGAAATGGCACAGACCTGATGCACACAGGCCATCGTGTGTAATGAAGCAAATGTTTACATTAAGCACAATACAGCAATTTATTTAGATGCTTAAAATGAATACAAAGGGAAATAAAGATCACAAAATTATACATACTACAACAGTGTGTCATATATTAGATGGTATAAATGAACACACCAGAGTGGTGTTTAACTAAAGATAAAACTAAATATCCAAAATGCAGCACTCATTGGTTTGCTGCTTCAACACAACACACTTTTATACAGATCTAAAAGGTGTCCAAATTAGTAGCTGTAAAGTCAATGTTTCCATGTGATTTTAGCTTAAAAGATTTCAGAAAACAGATCTGAAATACCAGTTTTTTGTTTTTGACAACTGTAATGTCAAGGATATTCAGAACAAGAAAAATTCTATAATACAAGAGAGTCCAGATATATATCTTATGTGGCTGGCCTCTGTTGCAAGATTGTACAAGGTTATGTGCAAAGAACTAAGTCTGTCCAAAAGTCCGTACTAGCGCAGTTTCAAGCTTTTGCTAGAGAAACTAGATACAGCGTTTATACACAGCAAGGGCAGCACTAAAAAACCCAAAAACCAAAAAAAAAAAAAAAAAAAACAAAGCTATGATGGGCACACAGTAACAATATCATATGCATCACTTGCGTAGGTCTAAAAGACTGTACAAATATACATTTCAACTATTCAGAATGAATGAATACAAGAAAAAGAGCTGATTTTCCCAAAGCCTGCTATACACTTTAGAATGGCAGCTTGTCTGTTGGCCCTACACTACCACATGGATCAGTGAATCAAGGACATCCACCAGAACATTCTACAGAGAGAAATTGCTGAAGACAAATCCACCTCTGCTCTCCCTCTTTGGGAGTGTGAGCCATCAGCTTATTTGTTTTCACATTAAGTTACTGTCTGTCAGAAAAGTTCTGAAGCAATCACCAGCCAATCATGTGTCACAGACTTAGAATTAGCCACTGACATAGCAGTGGCTCCATGTCCCACAGTGTGTTGACCAGCACTCACACGGCAGTACCAGTTATGACACAGCCCTGCAGGCACACTGAAAGGACTGCGGAGTTCCAAGCTGCAGTGTGTCAGTGATGCGGGCAACCAGGCACTCAGGCCTGCTGGCTGCTCAGTTTCACGCCGGTTAGGCTGCCGTGCATGGACTCAGCTACTCCATCAGTCATACTGTCAAACTGCTCCCCGTCCTCACTGTCAATTGTGCTATTCTGCCACTCAATCTGGGGGTTGGATAAGCGCTCATCATTCTCAGATGTGTTCTTCCACTGTGACTGGTCCTTGGACCAAAATCCTTCAACTTTTCCATAGGAACTATTCTTCCATTTCAACTGCTCTCTGTCACCATGCATGGTAGCCTTTTTTTTGACAGCTGGCTTACTGCTCCTTGCATCTTCACTCTGGGAAGACTCATCAGACCAGGTCCCGGGTTTCACCTCACATGTGTTGTCCTCAAAGTCCGACACATGCTGGGAGCCAGGCACGCTCTCGGGAGGAGAGGCACCGTCCTTCCACTCAACGACATCATCCTGGTCAACCTCACTGTCAGAAGCATCGTGCATTAATTTGGTTGGTGCCTTAGTCAAATGAAGAGTTTCAAATTTTGAACCCTCCTGCTCTTTTTGGTCTAGTTTCTCCTCAGATTCTAAAGCATCCTCTGGAATTACCTTCGGTTCATGTTCTTCTGGATTATCATTGGGGATTTTAGGTTCAACTTCAAAAACAGGGTCAAAAGGACTACCACTTGCATTGGATTCTTCTTCTAGATTCTCAAAGCTGTCTGAGGAACTGTCATCGTCTTTGCCGAGGCTGAGCTTTTTGTCAGCAGTCTTACTAGCATTGACTCTGGAATCCTTTTCATCATGATTTTCAAACAGCCACTCAGCATCAAAGTCCATCTCATGTTTGACTTTATTTAATTCTTTCATGTTGAAACCCAGCAACACACCGGGTTTATATTTTTCACAATCACGGACACATTTCTTCCTTTTGTTACTAAAATGGGAAGCAATGTCACTTTTCCATAGCCATAAACTGGCCGCCAGCTTCTCAATCTCTCTCCGGGTGGGGTACGGTTGCTTGTTGAAATACTTTGTTAGAAAACTTTTCCTGGCTTCATAGGAATCATCTTCATGACCCTTGGGGTCTAAAGCCAGGACGACAGGCTCCTCTGGCTTCTCTTCAAAGAAGCTGGGTGCATCGCTATCTTCCTCTAACTTCCGCTTCTTCAGCAAGGGAAATTCCATCTGTTCGTAGGTGCGCTTCACAGGGGCCAGGCCTGGGGACTGATTAAGCCGAGAAGGCGCATTCGTCTTATCCTGGCCATTCTGGGTCTTCCCAACACCCCTGCAGTGAACCAGATGCAGAGTGATAGTCGAGGCGGTCATATTGCTGGTATATACACCAAGGCAATGAATACATTTGTAGGTGAGCTTCTTCTCAACTGGATGAACCGTCTGAATTACTTGGTGCCTCTCTCGTAAGTGATGTGCAAGTGCATCAGATATGGGTCCTTTTAGGATTGAGAAGCAAAGCGGGCAAAGGGTTTTTCCGACATCCTTTTTGTAGGGCACTGCAGCTTGAGGCGAACTTTTAACAGGGATGTCTGCCTTTTCCTGAACTTTGGGCTGTGGCTTTGGAGGAACTGGAGGGTTATTCTGGGCATGGTAAGCAACAGATTCAGCAGGAGCATCCCTCAGGTTGTACGTGGTCACCAGGAGGTGGATGTTGGTGTGACTGCCCTGCTGTAAGGTCAGATCAAAACTCAAAGTAGAATCTGTCTTGGGCCCCATTTCCTCATCAATGTGAACCATCCGCATGTGTGCTGCCATCTTTTCTACATCATTGAAAGTCGAACGGCAATATGGGCAAGACAGACCATGAATAAGCATGTGGTTGAGCAAGGTATCTGTGGGCAAATAGCGATTACAATAGAGGCATTTGCTAGTAAAATTGTGTATCTTCATAATGTAGTTGGCTACTGCTGGGACTTTCTCAGCTTTATGTTCTTTTTCGAAGTGCACACTATAGACATTTTCAGGAAAAAGCTCATTGCAGATTGTACAAATTTTCCACTTTTGAGTTGAGGAAGTATTGGCTGGAGGAGGGCCTGTGGCAGCTGCAGTAGGTTTAGAGCTGGACTGACCTGATACTCTAGAGGCCTGTGCCTGGGACAGGGAAGGGGACTTTAATGGGCCCGATGAGAGAGACGAGGTGGCATTAGGAGACTGTAGGGAGAACCGCGCAGGTGCCTGGGACCTCTGTTCCGAGCCAAGCCCGTACGATCTTCCATTTCCACTTGGAAGTAATTGCTTCACAGACTGAGATTGCTGAGGGATAGAAACTGGTGCGTTGCCACCAAGACCCAGTCTCACTGACTGACCAACGCCATAGCCCTGGCCCACGGACTTGACCCCATAGTTATTTTGCTGTAGGTGAACATTGGGCATCATGTTGACTCCTGTAGAATTTAAGTTAGGCTTTGGTATGGAGAGTCGATTCACCATCTGCTGTGATGGTAAAGATCGGACATTTCCAGAAGCAAGAGAACCAATTCTTGGGGGAAGTCCCATGCCCTTCTTCTCTTGAGGCTTGGGCGCAATCAGCATCAAGGGTTTAGATCGAGGAACCACCACATTGGTGTGCCCGATCATGGCAGTGACCTGATAGCCTATGCGTTCATGGTCTTCAATGACATGCTGTACCAAAGCTTCATAGGACTTTGGCATGAAAAGGCATCGCTTGCAGTGAATACTACACTCTTCCCTGGCACTTGAGCCTAAGGGGACTGCACCGTTGAGTGATTTTTCTCCTGCCTTTGCTATGTAGGGTGCTGCCACATGCTGAAAATGTTCCCTGTATATGTGCTTCCTAACTATCTCGTAAAGAGGATCTCGGTAAGTGCACTTCTTACAGTAATAAACAGCTTGCTCTACACTGTCAGCCTGCTTAGGTTTAAGGCCATCATTTTTGCTTTTATCTTTGAAAGTGCTGAGGCTGCTACTTGGTGCGCTGGCGTTTGGAGCATGAAAGATTTTAATGTGTGTTTCCAAAGTCTTTTTGTCTGCATTGAAGGTACAGTAGGGGCAATTAAGAAGAATCCTATTTTCAAAGTCTTCACTATGGACATTCCGGAAATGACTTTTGTAGGCAGAGAAGAATTTTGAGGAAAATGGGCAAGCACTGCAGCAAAAAGGTTTTGTTCGATAGTCCTAAAGAAAACAGAAACTAGTATGAGAACGTCACTTCAGGACAAGTGATTGCAGGTTCTAAAGCACCCCGCACCCCCACCACCGGCACAGACATTCTCAGAGTGCTATATTTAGAACAGAAACACTAACTGATTTCAATATTTTTTCCTTTTTGCAGAATACATTTATGAAATAGAAATTCAAAGGAAAAAGCTGTGTGAAATCAATGCTAAGGCCTTTCTAATATTTGCTTTGAGTCACATTTGTTCATGGGTTTTAGACAAACTGAAGACAACTAACTTCCAAGGAGCAATACTTTCAGTCAAAAATAATAAACCTTGTAAAAGCATTTTACTTCAGGAATCTGGAAACTTAAATACTTCAGACTTTATATACAGTTAGGTTCAGTGCCTGAGTGTTTTTTGGTGAAACCAGACAAAAGCTCAAGTTGCAATTTCTTTCTCATCCCAGAAAATTTCCAGATTAAAAAAAATTTTAAGATTTATTTATTTTTATTGGAAAGGCAGACATATATAGAGAGAGGAGGAGAGATAGAGAGGAAGATCTTCCGTCCGATGATTCACTCCCCAAGTGCCTACAATGGCTGGTGCTGCGCTGATCCGAAGCCAGGAGCTTCTTCCAGCTCTTCCACGTGGGTGCAGGAACCCAAGGCTTTGGGCTGTCTTCGACTGCTTTGCCAGGCCACAAGCAGGAAGCTGGATGGGAAGTGGGGCCGCCGGGATTAGAACCGACGCCCATGTATGATCCTGGCTCATTCAAGGCGAGGACTTTAGCCACTAGGCCACGGCACTGGGCACAAAATATTATTTTTCAATGTACTTTCTTCTGTGATACAAAGTGTGCTACGGTATTCAGTTTCATTACTGATGAAAAATGAATGTATTGAATTCACATGTCGGCTTCTTTCTATAAAGAGTGTTATCCCCTCTCCAGCAAGACTTGCTTCCAAAGAAAGTAAAACTGTCCTACAAGTGGTAAAGAATGCACTGGTACCCAAAAATCCAATGCTGTGCTGCAACACGTACCGACGTCAAAAAGGAACTGTGTACTGTAGTCCATGAAAACAGGTTAACATGTGCATACTGCCTCATTCTCTTCTCCCTCAAACCCTGTTGTAAATATAGGTTTACACCCAAATTTGAGGGCTTTGTATACCACTCAGTTAACAACTTCACCATAGCATTTCCACAGTTTTAGATACTGGAAGTAACTCAGACATGAAGGAAATCTTACATGATGATGTGTACAGGTTCCATGCAAATGCTACACCATACTGGTATCCCCAACAGTCCCGGAATTTGTCCTCCTTCTGTAGCATTAGGCTATGAGGCTTACCAGATTCATAAAACTGACCTAAATAAAAGCTAGTGAGAATGCTGAGTGTTGAGAAGGCCCAGGTGGAATTTAAAAGCAGCCATTGGCTGCCACATATAACCCCAACAGATGGAGAAGACACTAATGCTGAATTACCAGCACGAGAGGGATCAGTGACATCTGAATTAACAATTTTTCCTTATTGGGACAAAGCATCACCACCACCTTCAATTCCCTGTAGCTCCGCACATCCTCACTCTCAATACTGATGTCCATGCTGTTGTGTGGAATCAGCTGTGACTGCCACCTTACAGATACACTTCACGTCTCCCAGAGGCTGTGTGTCGTCAACAGGAGAAAGAAAACCCTAACTAGGCTGTGTTTGGCTCTGGTCTATGAAATCAGAAAGATACTTGGCATCTGGGTCAACACAACTTGGGAAGAGACAGAAGAGGCCAATGTGCTCCAGGAAATCTAGACAGACACACAGTGGCCTTCAGAGCTTTGCAGCAACAGAATTTTCCTTTTCTTTTTACACTTAAAGCCTCATTCCAATGACCTAATAAGTAGATTTTTAGATGCCAAATCTGGAATGTTTAGCATCACTTTGGATGGCTGAGAGCTACAGCACGAGATGAGCCAAGGATGCAGATAACTGGGGAAGTTTCCTGTGCCACTCACCTGGTTTTTCGTAAGTGAAGGGTCCCACAATCCTACATCCTCCCATGTAGTGTTTTTCAAATAAAAGTCATTAGGTTCAAACTGTTTAAAATCCTAGAAAACAGTAAAAAAAGTTTACAAAACACACAGTGATATCAACTCTAGCCCAACCTTACCTAGAAGTCATTACCTTTTTACTAGGATTGAGGAGAGGCACAGGAAAACCAAACCCAGCCCGAACTAAAAACTAGGAACATAAGACTCTTAGGCAAGACAAAAGGGCACACCTTGAAGTTAAGTTATACTGAACATTTTGTATTAACCCAAAAATACCCCGATGGTCAGCCAGGTTTCCAAGGAAACCATTGTGTGTTCTATATACAGTGATACCCGAGCAGTTTTCGTCAGAGCACTGTAACTCATCAGCGACAGTGCTGGAATGTAGCCTAAGAAACGTGCACTTACGGTTCTGCAGATGAGTATTCTTTTTGAGGGGTGGGGTGGGGTGGGGTGGGACGGGAGATTCTTCAGGGGTAGATGGGCCAGGCCAGAGATTGGAATGGAAAGAAAATTCAGGATTTTTGAACCCAAAAAGGAGGAAAGAAAGCTACTCAAAGAAAGCAAGCAATGTGATGTTAACTTTATATGCTCATGTAAAATGCTAACAGCCCCTTTTCCCTCAGACTAGGAAGATAAAAAGTTTCAGAATAAAAATTTTCCTTGCTCCTAAGTGGGTCACAGTTCCAGGGAAATCCAGTACACCTCATCCTCAGTGAGTAACGATGTCATCAGAGGAACAAAGCACGTGCAGGACAGAAAGGCATTTGAGCACCTGCATGGTTGGTTTCTGTGAAGAGGGCCTCATCCACTGCGCAGTGAATGGACCACTGAGTTGGGGCCCAGCTGCCTGGAGCTGGGCTGGGGACAAGCTAACCAGCAGCTCTCCTCCAAGGAGCTGCAGACTCCACGCTGTATCCTAGAGTCTTACTGGGACTCGGGGAATAAAGACCACCGCATTAATGAATTTACTCTTCCATCCCAAATATTTACTGAGGTCCTATTTTGTGCTGAACATTGTGCTAGGTACTTAGGGATAAATGGATGAACAAGGTAGCTCTGGTCCTTGTGTTAGCAGGGAAATGGTTTTAAATATACCTTTTCAACCAGAGCTCTGACCAACTAACCATAAGACCCGGAGTACTGTGATCTGGAAAAGGAGGAACCTTCCACTCTGGCTATCCCATCCCAGGGGTTGTCATAAAGCTCTCAGAATAAAAAGGCTAGAGAACAGTAGGTAAAAGGCATCTGTTAAACAAGGGGAAGACCTAGTCCCTGCTGGGTCAAAGGGGCCAACAAATGCTCAAATCCCAAGGAGAGACAACAAGCACCTCAGTAACCATGCCTCCGCACTAGGTCACCAGCACCCTTAGGCCTCTCAAGAATGAGGACAGGCCTGGAGCCCCACAGACGGCACTGCTTCCTCAGCTGGGAGGCCGACCCAGACCCTGCGCCAGGCTCCACCTGTCAAATGGAGGTTAAGAATTCCTACTCTCCCCTCCGAAGTGGCTGAAGGAGTCAATGGAGAGGCTATTCTAGACCAGCCTGTTCAACGTCTGACAAGCTCTGAGTTCTCAATGGCAGCTGCTTTTGCTGCAGGACGCAAAGATGAAAAACCCCATTTTAAGGTGAAGGGAAGAAGTTTATGCTAATTCAAAAAGCTTTGGAGAAGCTAATGCTGTGGTTAAAATTCAGAATCCCACCTAAGAATTAACCATCCTGGCTGCTGACACAAAGTAGTGGACCAGAAGCTGAGTCATGTTAAAAGTTAAAAATGACATGCTACTTACTTCTATATGTTCTTTACAGTATTCCAACCCAATGTCACTAAGTATTTTTTTCACAGTTTTCCGGGCTTTTCTTAAACTGCCAAGATTGTTGACAGGAAGTTGGAACATAGTTTCTATTGGGAAAAAAAATTTAAGTCAAAGTCAAAACATGTACAACTTGTAATAATTTACTAATTCCAGTGATGATAGGATCACAAACCCTGACCCCAACTAAAAAAAGGTGAATAAATACAGGCAAAAATAAGTGCTCTCTGAATTGTTTCTGAATGGCACATTGCTTTGAAATTATAGATCAACTGTGAGTCTCACTCATTCTGGCACAATTCTGTTTAGACAAAAACAAAAAAACAAAACAGTTCAATGATAAAGTTGAGAATGAGGAAATAATACCAACCAATTATTTTTAAATAAAGTTTAAGTGCTTTTCTGCTTGTGATGTTGAACCTCTGAAAATAGAAAAATGCTCACCGTTTTAGTATTGTAACCACAGTGTTGAGTGCCAGGGAAAAGAAGTCTGTCTGGGAACTGTCCCTGTCCACTGCTCTGGCATTCTTAAAGAAACATGCCGAGCTAATCCTGCACACGCCCCAAATCAATGACAAAATGGTTTTGAGGACTCACCCCTGACAGCTACTGGCTGACAGCTGGAGTGACTGCCAGGAGGGGAAGGTGGGTACTTGGCATTAGCGCACTTGGCATCTCTCAGGGGTTTTTAGTGGTTCCTTCCCAAAGACAAAAAGCCCATGTGTGTACGAGAATGGTACAACTGCCTAAGTGACCTAAGGCATTAATACCAGAAACTTAGAGCCACTTCTCCCAGGTCCTTAAAAACAAAGGACGACGTAAAATTAGTATTTTGGACAACTGAGAATCTGTATGGCTCCCAATGTGACCATAAGTGCTTCCATAAAACATCTTTAAGTATTTGTCTTCAATTTAATGGTCCAAATTCAAAACAATTTTACAGAATAAAGTAGCTCTAAAACCCACAGCAGCAAAAAGAAAAGCCAAAGCCACCACTAGCTAACATTTAATATATGGAAATATGATTTGTCAATTAGGATGAGCTGTTATACCTGCAAGTCAACTATTCCAAATATGCGTTCTCACTTATCCTAATCTGAAACTTAACACTACCTATGAAAAATGGAAGGAGAGCTAGAAAGGACTCACACCTACCAAAACAAATAATGCTCAGAAATGCTAACTCTGGTGTTCAGAACACAGAAGTCTCCAACAATCCTAAGTGAGGTACCAAGAAGGGCCAAATGAGAATAAAGCACTTCACCAAACTCCCTGGCTGCGGTGGTGCGGACTTAGCACTGCGCTGTGGGTGCTGCGGGTCGTGTGCCTGCCACCAGTTACACATCCCATCTGCATCCTGCTTGTGACACAAACCAATGTGCGCTAAAGGTCAAATCAACTATTGTTTGTGGAGTGTTATTGCTAAATTGTTTAAAATCATTGTTTGGGTAGTTTACTTTTTTCTTTTTTTTAAAGAAAACCCAGTTGTTCACACGAAGTTGATCTTTTTTTGAGAGAATTAAAAAGCAGCTGGGGCTGACTTCCTGAGGCTCAGCAAAGCAAAGGCTCCAGAGCTGCAACTGTGCCCACTAAGGCTGCCAGCCTCTACCTGTGGCTTGGGGAGGAAAAGCGTTCTCCTCAGGCCATCCCACAGCTCACAGTCATTTAAATCACCCAGCGGAGCAGCCCAGCTTCTCCAACCACAGTCCTAAAGAAGAAATTGTGCTTATAGCAGCAAGAGATGTATTTTAAAAGTAGCACAACACAGGGTCACCTTCTGAGTTTACTTATATGACTGAATTAAAAGTGTACAAATGAAATAAACATCACTGCTTACTGAAAAATGTGGTACATGTTTATTTTTCTACGTGCATACTTAAACTGATAGATGTAGAATGTTGTAAGAGTGTAAATGGATTCATGACATTCTGATTACTCTGAGAATTCTTTAATCTACCCCTTCACCCAGATGGAAATGCCCTCATATACTTGTTTATGGAAACTATTTCTAAGATTCTGTCCATTTGGAGCTAGTCTGCACATATTCAAAATTAACCATTTACAAAGATTGTTCTGGTTGTTGGCTTTCAATGACACAGTTCTCTACAAAGAAAAAATAAAAAGCACAGGAATAGAAATGGTGGCGAGCTTCCTTGCCACCATCCTGCAGCCATGCAGCCCTCTTCCCAGATGGGGTGACCACGCTCAATTCTGAAAGCACATGCTAGAACACGTCTGTGCCTTCTGTTTAACGAGCCAACCGACCCCTTGAAAGTCTCCTCCCCGCCTCACCCTGTCAGTGCTGGGATAAACACAAAATTCAAGGGCCCTACGTTTTCTTCAGCCGCTCGTTGTTCAAAATATATACATGATTCATCAATGTAATCTATTTGATCCTTTAAAAACGCCTGGCCTCCTCTCCAAACCCCTTCCTAATCAAAAACCCGGACAAGGGCCCCTTACTTGTAAGTGCCTGAAGAGTAGGGACAGAAGAGAAAAAAATCTATCTGCTCTTAAGGAAGAGATGCCTCGAAGTTACAGCAAGGTCCTTGTGCAGTCGGCTGCGGCAGGCAGGGGAGCAGGTCAGCCGTGCAGCCCCCTTTCTCTGTAACCTTCTTAGTTATCAGGTCTTCAGCAGATGAACATCACTATCCTGATGAGGGAGAGCGCCAGTTATGGCATCAAAGGGAAATGACCCATTGTAATGGAACATTCCCTGTTTCTCCATCATATTCAGAATCGCTGTGTTAGGGACGGAGTAGAGTGCAACAGAGCTGTCTTCCCTCTAGCAGCAGTCCACCTGTCTAGAGCACACAGCAGGCCCTTCCTCCTGCCTGCACAGTGTCCGCTCAACTGCTGCTGGGCGGTCCTTGCTCCTCTAGAGCACAGGGTCAGAGTATTTCATCTCTGCAGCCACTGGTTGCACACACACACACGGCAATGATGCTGCAAAGGAGCAGAGACCTGACAGAGCCTCCTACTGACACTGCTCACGGGGCCCATACAGCTGTGCCTTTTACCCCGCCTGGTCTCCAGGTTTCCCTGAGAAAGCAGAGTCACTTCCACTTAAGCTTTGTTCATAACACTTGCAACTGAGACTCGGCGTATCCACCAGGTAATGGGACACAAAAGAGGAACTAATAATTAAGAGGGAAGATACAGCATTTTACACAATTACACTTGTGAACTAGATCAAGTAATAACATGAATCTGTCAGAAGACAGTTATTCTAAAAAGGCTTTCCCCCAGTTTCATTAACCTAAAACAATGCATAGAAAAGTCAAGCATTTTCTAATAGAATTTAGGAAAAGCTCAATGACAACTGAACATTTCCAAGTGCTTTATTTGCAACTGGGAGTAACTAGCCTTTTGGTAAGCACATATCATTTGATGAACGAGGTGTAAGCCATTAATTTTTAGGAATGATTTAAGGACCCAGTACAATGGCTCAACTACTGGCTAATCCTCTGCTTGCAAGGGCTGGCATCTCATATGGTGTGGTTTGTGTCCCGGCAGCCCCACTTCCCATCCAGCTCCCTGCTTGTGGCCTGGGAAGGCAGTCAAGGACGGCCCAAAGCCTTGGGATCTTGCACCAGTGAGGGAGACCTGGAGGAACTTCCCGGCCTCAGGTTGTTAAGGCCATTTGGGGTAGTGAATCAGATCTACTACTGTAAACCTGTCTATTCAATAAAATAAAATTTTTTAAGTTAATAAAATAAATTGTTTTAGGATATTTTCATTGGAAAGTCAGATTCACAGAGAAAGATCCTCCAGTCACTGGCCCACTCCCTAAGTGGCCGCAACAGCTGGAGCTGAGCCAATCGAAGCCAGGAGCCAGGAGCTACAGTCTCCCATGTGGGTAGAGTCAGTCACAAGGCCTTGTGCTGAACCAGCAGATTGTAGATGTTCTGTATCTGTAAATTCTCCTTTTCAACAAAAACAAATAAAGTATTTTATTTTAGATCTTTCATCCACGGCTTCACCCTCTATCCAAGTGGGCACATTGTCCAGAGCTGAACCAACCTGAAGCCAGGAGCCAGGAGCTTCTCCCACACGGGTGCAAAGTCCCAAGGTTTTATTTGGGCCATCCTCAACTGTTTTCCCAGGCTACAAGCAGGGAACTGGAAGGGAAGTGGAACACCTAGGATATGAACTGACACCCATATGGGATCCTAGTGGATGCAAAGCGAGGACTTTAGCTATTAGGCTACCACACCAGGCCCCAAGAAAAAAAATCTTACAAAAAAAAAAAGAGGAAAGAATTTAAATGATTTGGCTGATTATTCCTGTCAATCTCCATAAATTATACCCAGCCCAGCTGGCCAGGGCTCAAACATTCCAGTATTTCTACTCCAGGCTCCCATCAGCATGCTTCCTAAAGAAAAAGTTAAATGACTGGGAAAAGCAGAGAATCACTCAGACTAAAAATGCCAGAGATGAATTGAGGCCATATAAATAATAAATAACACCTATCTGACTCTACCCTCTGAATACTAAACACAAGACTACTCTTACTCAAGTATTACAAAGGGAAATAAAAGTAGACAGCACCCACCTCATGAGGAGATAATCTGTACAGAAGGTTCTAACACCACCACTGCCTGAAGACAGTGACTGACGATCCTAATTACCCTGATTTACAACTGCTCTTTTAGAACCCCGCGCCTGGTCAGGGGCTTTGAATCAGCAGACGGAAGACAGTACAACAAGCCCTCATACTGGCTTAGCAGTCTCACTAAGGCTTGCAAGACTGAACACAACAAAACTATTACTAGGGCTTGGCTGTGGTGGTTCCTATTCAAAACCACCACTTCAAGGATGGCCCATATATTTAGGGATAGCAGAAAAGCATCGACTGTGCCATCAGAATGTAAAACAAACAAACAAACAAACAAACAAACAAACAAACATTTTCTGCCAAGCACAGAAAACAATTCAGGAGAAAAGCAATCAGCCTCCAAATCAAATTGTCCATGTTACATTTTAAACAATCATAAGCAAGCATCTAGTACATTTTCTAGCACACAAATCTTAACATTTTAACCTGCATTCTTATGTGATGTTCCCAAATGCTGAGTAATAATACATA